GAGGGATCTTCCTCGACCAGGGCTCAAACCCGTGTCCCCCGCACTGGCAGGCGGATTCTTAACCACTGTGCCAGCAGGGAAATCCCAGGAATTACTTTTTTAAGCAAAGGTTTTACTTCGGCTCACTTGAATCTAAATATTACAAAGTACAACCAAGTATGGGAATCTTCTCTATGAATAATCTCAGTGTGTGGAATGAACTGGTGATCAACATGACCTGCTGCATTTTGAGTACTTGGAAGAGCAGTCTAACAAAGCACCCTCAAACCACCTAAAACAATCTGAAGTCAGTTACAATTCAATGAGCCATATACTTTTAATCCTTTACACCTGGAAGTAAAACCTTAATGGTGGAGAAGGTAGCTGATTAATCCATCCTGAGGGAAACCTTACATAATTAGAAAGTCTGAAACACCTGATACACTACTGATTAACAAAGAATGGCAGTCTCTAGAACAGTCCTTCTGCCTAAGACTTGATGCATGTACTTTACAGAACATCAAATATATTTGGATTTTGAAGGGTTAAGAAAGCAGAGTTGGACACATGCACCACAATGTCCATTGCAACACTATGTACAATAGCCAGGACATGGAAGCAACCTAAATGTCTATCAACAGAGGAATGCATAAAGAAGATGTGGCACATATATACAATGGAATATTACTCAGCCATAAAAAAGAACGAAATACTCCCACTTGCCGCAACATGGATGGACCTAGAAATTGTCATACTGAGTGAAGTAAGTCAAAGACAAATACCTTATGATATCACTTATATGTGGAATCTAAAAAAATGGTACAAATGAACTCATTTACAAAACAGAAATAGAGTCACAGATGTAGAAAACAAACTTAGTTACCGGGGGGGAAAGCGTGTGGCAGTGAGTGGGGGGTGGTGGTGGACAGATTGGGAGACTGGGATTGACATATACACAAATACTATATTAAAAAAAGAGGACCTACTGTATAGCACGGGGAACTGTACTCAGTACTCTGTAACGGCCTGTATGAGAAAAGAATCTAAAAAAGAGTGGATATACGTAAATGTATAACTGATTCACTCTGTTGTACACCTGAAAACTAACACAACACTGTAAATCAACTATACTCCAATAAAAATTTTAAAAAAAAGAGTTGTAGGTCATCCAAAATCATTTGCAGAAGTGAAGAACATCCTTTAAGAACTAATATGACATATACTGAAATTTTTAGTACACTTTGATATTTTATAAAAACTAAGACAAAAAAGGGAGAAAGTAGGGCAACCAAAAATGAGAAATATAGATGAACAAACTATTTACCCATCTTTTCCTGTACTAGTATACATCAATTGAACATCCTATTCCAGCTGGATGAACTTCCATGAATTTATATAAATTATGTCTCCAGCAAAAGTTTGTTTTTCACTGCATTGACGTGTCAATTTTATCGATCAACTCAGTGAGAGCCTTTCATTCATTTGCTCTGTTGGCTGAGTGGAGTGGCTATGTTAGCAGCCCCCTGACACAACCTGGCTACCACCATAGAGGGTTTCAAAGTTTTCAGATTATCAACTCACCAACCTTAACTCTCTTTAGAGTCAAGAAATCAGTGTCATCTCTCCAGCTAACTTCCATTAGAGGAGTAACAGAAACCAGATTACTAGTAAGCCAAAATGTTTCTCTGAGAAATAGTAATAGTTCTACTAAAATTATAAGTGTTTGAGTCTTGCAAAAGCTACAGAATACACACTAGTTCTATCTAAAAATCACCTACATTTTGACTTTGACAAATTCTAACAAATTTGATTTGCAAAACCAGGTTCTTAGCTCTTCATTTTCTGCTATGAGATGTAATTATAATTTTAAATATTTATGTATGTATGTATGTACGTATGTATTTATTTAGGCTGGGAATGGTCTGAGTTGCAGCACGCTGGATCTTCCTTGCGGCATGCACGTGGGATCTTGCTCTCCGACCAGGGATCGAACCTGGGCCCCCTGCATTGCAAGCGCGAAGTGAGGTAAGTATAATTTTCAAAAGCTGCTTTCAGCCAGCAATAAGAAAATAACCCTGCGACTTCCCTGGTGGTCCAGTGGTTAAGACTCCACGCTCCCAATACAGGGGGCCCGGGCTCAATCCCTGGTCAGGGAACTAGATCCCACAAACGGCAACGAAGATCCCGTGCACCACAACTAAGACCAGGCACAGCCAAATCATCTTTCATTGAATTGTGGCAGAACCCTTTGCATTCTCTTCAATTCTATCAAAAACCCAGGTGAGCAGACACTCAACAAGTGTATGTATTCAAAAATAATTGCCTTAGTCTCCCTGAAGCACCTTGTGGATTACAAAAATATATATAAAAGGCATGTATTTTTTCCACTCTACTAAAAGCCTACAACCTAAAGTGCTACTAAAAGAGATGCAGTTATGAAGACTAGGGACATCTGGGCTTTAATGTTAGTGCTGACAAAGAGGCTCTCCTTAACCAAACTTTAGTCAGGCTTCTCTGAACTCTCTTCTCAATAGGCCCTGACTTCTGGGCTTCTGGGTTCACCTCTGCATTGTCCAATTTTAGCAAGAATCCTGTTAGACCTGTTTAGCTAGAAACCCCTGTTACCCCTGAGGTACTAATTTTCTTTCCATCCACTGGCCCCCACTCTGCTTCCTGGCTATAAATTCTCACTTTTCCTTGTTATTTTCGGAGTCCAGCTCTATACTGAGGTCTCTTTTTCAATGTTGCAACTGCTTTTCTGAATAAAATCTGCTTTTACCACTAGCTGTGTAAGTATGTTTCAGTCACTTAACCTTTCTGGGTTTCAGTTTACTCATCTGTAAATTTAAGGGAGGTAGAGTAGATGACCTCTAAGGATCCCTGCCAGGTCTAAAATTTCTCATGACGAAATCTGGTAGAGGAAAATGAGGTACAGGAAAAATTAAGCAATTTGGACTTGCTGGAGGTCATAGAGCCGTGAAGCCAGGACATCATCCAGGTCTTCGGACTCCCACCCAGCACAATGTCCATTTTACAAAACCAGTCACCAGGAATTCCCTGGTGGTCCAGTGCTTAGGGTTTTCACTGCCAGGGCCTGGGTGCAAACCCTGGTTGGGGAACTAAGATCCTGCAAGCCATGCAGCACGGTCAAAAAACAAAACAACAACAACAAAAAAATCAATCTCAATGCTGAAACCAAAAGGTAGACAAATCCAAAGAAAGGGCATACCCAGGGTGCTATTTCAACCCCGAGTTCTGCTTCATCTTACAATCTGTTGTTCAGTACTCTTTAATCCCTAAGCAGCATTACATTTTTTTCCCATAAGATAAATCATTTTTCCTTTCTGGAAACATAAATTATACTACTTTTACCAATAAAACACATAGAACACATAATAATTAACCTTGACTTTAGATGACAGCAACGATTGAAAGATTTTATTCTATTTCCTACCAATATTTCCTTCTGTTTTGTCATTAAAAGTTCCGTTCAGTTTGGTTGTGAAGTGGGCCCCAGTTCTTACTTTACTGTAAAAGACTCCTAAATGCCACGGGGCTCAGCTGAAGGCAATTCTGACTCCAGCGTGACTTCAGTAAGATCGTTTTACTTCCTCCAAGTTTCAGTTACTTCGCCCATATCCAAGGTAAGTTATAAAAGACAACATCAAAGATGTGAAGTTTTAAAGTATTAAAAATCTAATGATGATGAACACTGTGTTTACATGCCATGGTACAATTATCTCAAATATCTATTTTCATACCTCTAAATATAGGGAAACAGTTTTTAAAATTTTTTAGAATTAATTTTTATTGGAGTATAATTGCTTTACAATGTTGTGTTAGTTTCTGCTGTGAGGGCCACATTTTAAAAACTTATATTCTACTGCTGCTGCTTTGAATTTTTTAAAATACCATACTGAATAATGCCACTTCCTCCTTGGTATCTTTCTATGCCATTTTCACCTGAGCGACAAGGAATATGATGTATTTTAAAGTTAAACCGGGAACTAGATCCCACACACGGCAACGAAAACACGTACAAACATAACTATTTTTTCACGCCATCAGTTTTCTGTTATCATCCTCTAACGAACTTAAATTTTGCCAATAAACGTCTTCTAAAATGTTACATTTTCTGTGAAATGCAAGAAACAAAATGCTACATTACCTAGTGGGTAGCAATCAGTATTTTTAATACTTTAAGAATTTCAATTTACCGTTCACTAGCACATTGACATCACTGCCTTCCAGCGTTTGCTCTCATTAAATAATCCTGTTTCTATCTTTGTTCCCTTGCCTTCCATACATAGACTGCAAATGTTCTATTGTTCCCGTTCACCATTTCAGTGAAGAAGCTTAAAAATGACTTTACATTTGCACGTTTCTTTGCTCGGTAAATACACTTCCTCTCACTGCAGTTGAGCTGCAGAGGTCGATCTCTCACCAAAAAGCAAGATCTGGACAAAACTAAACAGCAAAACCAAGGCCGAATGGGAAGGGTGGGGAGTGGAGTCAGTACACCAGCCTAACAGGGGTTCTAGGGCTTCCACAGATAAACAAAGGAAGTTGATTTCCCCACGGCGCCGCGTGTGCTTCACTCGTGTGGAGTCCCAGAGCTCATTACCTCGAAAACGCAGCCCAAGTGCTGAATTTTTCTAAAGGATCCCATTATAGGTGGACACCCAGAAAGTCAGCGGAGGCAGAGCTGGATGGGGAAGAGAGTGGGCCGACCTTCGATTCCTTCCTCCCACCCCACCAAAGAACCTAAATACCTACCAACCCCAGCATACCGACACATAGCTCCTCAGCTGCTCAAGATACAATTTTCAGGGGCAGGAGAAAAACGGGAGCGTGGGGGGTGGGCTTCAGGTGGGGTGAGTGCGAGGAGCTGGAGAGAGGAATCAAGTTCAGGGGCGAAGCCGAGGGCACTAGAGGGAGGTCTAAGCAGAGCGGAGCAGCTTGGGTGCCGGCGGCGCGCGAACGCCCGAACGGCCGGGGGCGGGCACAGGCCCCTTCCTCACCTGGCAGCCCTTCTTGTGATGAAAGCCGACCACCGCGATGTGCAGTACGGGCCCACGGGGGGCGCTATCGCCGCCCCGCCCGTTCTTCTCCATGGGCGACCGCCGCAGGCCCGCAAGACGATGACTGCAACCGCCGAGGGCGGCAAGCCGAGCAACCCCGTGATCCCCAGGAGGACGGCGAGCAGTGGATTTCAGATGTTAGCGAAGGCGCCGCATGAGAGCCTCGCAGGGAGCGAGGAGGAGGCCGAGGCTCCTGCAGCTCTGCACCGCCCCCCCGGGCCGCAGCCGAGCTTCCTTCATCCGCTTCCGCTGCTTCCGGGCTGTCACCTGATGCGGCGGCAGCCGCCGGTAAGGCGGGACTGGGCAGGATTGGGAGGCACCTGATGAGGCGGGGCCTGGCGGGGCCTGGAGAGGGGGAGGGGCGCTGGGATGGGGCGGGGCCTAGTGGGGTCGCCTGGCACACCTGTCCCCCGCTCACACCCTCTAGGTGCGATCTCATCCCGCTTCCTCCTCCTCTGCCCTCGTTTCTTCCCCCTTAAAATCTCGGCCCCTTCCCATCTCTTCCCTCAGCTTTCCTTTTTTTTACTTCACTTTCGGAGTATCCAGTCCTTTCACTTCCTTTCCTTCACCTCTCTGGCCTACAGTCTCTCTGTTCTTTACTCTTAAATTTTGATAACACGGAGACATATTGGTGCGGCTGTATATCTGTGTATTCAACCTTTAAATTACCTGCTTACCCAGAGTTTCTCTTTTGCTTCGTTCTATGTTTTTTTCCTTATTTAAATATTATGTATAGGAGTTTGGAAGTGTTTTAAGGCCTGATGCAGAATATCCTTGAAAGTAAATTTACAGGGAGACCTGTAAAATGATCCTTCTAGTCCTGCTATTTTATTTATTTATTTATTATTTTAGTCCTGCTATTTAAAAAAAAAAATTCATTCTATCTTTCTGGTTTTAGTACTCTGGTCAGCACAGAGTACTAAAATACATGGGGTCTGTTGTCACCAGGATTTTTGATTTCCTTACTGTTTGTACTAATTCAATTTAAAAAAATTGAATCTCATTTTATGTCAATTTAAAGTGAATAATGGAAATACTAATAGATTTAACAAGTCTTATCCAGGGCAGTTTGAGGATAGGTACCTGCTTCAAATAGCATTCACAATTATTACAATAACGAGCTGTGAAGTTTATCATTGCATGTTGCACATCCCTTAGTTTAGACAACCTTAGCAGCTGATTCCACTTCTGGCCTTGAAAGTTAAGGACATTCATTCTAATATAAGTATGGCTGAGAAAATCAGTATACTCTTCTTAGAATATACTTTCTATGATTCAGTTGAACTGTTTTAATGCTAAGAAAAATACTGTAGAAAAATTTCAAGATGTTGCTACTATTTCTTTTCTGTATTACAAAAGTCTTGGCATTGGCTCAAAACTGTGTGAAACTATAATATTGCCTGTATACAGAATATGTTACTGTATTGTTCCATCTGCCTTGACATTTTCCACAATTGGCCTAACTAAAATTGAAGTGAAATTGAACATCTTTTCAAAAGGATGTAAGGGCAGGACATCTTAGGACTATGTATCTACAGTGAATGCCAATTGTTTATTCATTGTGCAGGAGACCCAGTAATAACTTTATAAAAATCCATGTCATTTTGCATCCTAGGGCCTCCAACTAAGATTAACTCATTTATTCATAAACATTATGTTGCTTAAATGTTTAAAAATTATGTCATTTAAAATAATGCTATAAACAAAGAAGATATGTTACAGGGAAAATTGGAAAAGAAAGTAAACAAGTGGATTTCCAGAATTTTTTCCATCCCTAAATATACAGACTGGTCCATTTAACAATTTAGAATAACAACTTTTACGGTAGTTTTTTTTTTAATATTTTTAAATTTATTTTTGGCTGCGTTGGGTCTTCATTGCTGCACGCGGGCTTTCTCTAGTTGTGGCGAGTGGGGGCTACTCTTCTTTGCAGGGCTTGGGCTTCTCATTGTGCTGGCTTCTCTTGTTGTGGAGCCCAGGCTCTAGGAGCACAGGCTTCAGTAGTGTGGCACATGTGCTCTAGAGCACAGGCTCAGTAGTTGTGGCACATTGGCTTAGTTGCTCCGCGGCATGTGGGATCTTCCTGGACCAGGGATTGAACCCATGTCACCTGCATTGGCGGACAGATTCTTAACCACTGCTCCACCAGGGAAGTCCTACATTAGTTTTTAATGAGTTGTATTAATATAAAATAAATTCATTAACAACATATTGTCTACAAGGACAAATATCTATTGAGGAGAAAATAGAAATTTCTCCTTTATTTTAAAAAGTATTGTAAGGAACAAGATTGGAAATAACAATTTGAGATAATGGAATACTTCCTGAACATTATTTTGTTTTGTTTTTATTTTTTTAAACTTTTTTTTAATATTGGAGTATAGCCAATGAACAATGTTGTGATAGTTTCGGGTGCACAGCCAAGTGACTCAGCCATACATATACATGTATCCTTTCTCTCCCAGACTCCTCTCCCATCCAGGCTGCCACATAACATTGAGCAGAGTTCCCTGTGCTATACAGTAGGTCCTTGTTGGTTATCCTTTTTAAATATAGTTGTGTGTACATGTCAATCAACTCCCTAACTATCCCTTCCCTCCCCCCCACCCCCCTGCAACCATAAGTTCATTCTCTAATCTCTAAGTCTGTGAGTCCGTTTCTGTTCTGAACATTATTTTGAAAGGAAACTTTTGCTTGTATTTTTATGATGACATTTATCTCCAGGGAAAAAATTAGAAATGCTTTTCTGAATATACATTACATTGAGGAGCTTCTTTTAATTATATATATTTTATGGTGAATTATAAATTCTATTTTATATCTGCTCTGTAAGTAAGAGCTAATGGGAGAAAAACCCTGGAGACATAGAGCTGTGACATGTTTTCAAATTCATTAAAAATAAACTCTTCATCTGGAATTGCGTATTGTTTCTTTTTCTGTCTTGCCTCAGGAAAGTACTCAGTAAAATAAAACCACTCCCTTCTGCAATCCCCATTAACTCTACTCTCTAAACAAATTGTATCAACTATTTCAGAGTATAAAGAGACTTTCTTTATTCTTCATCAATAATATTGAATATTGCTTATGTTAATTTGGTTTCTGTAATGGAATACAAAGTATTGACTTTCTTAAAGCATATTTTTCTGAATTCTAAACTCTATCAAGTAACCAATGCCTTGAATTTGGTCCCTACTCATATTATACTATGGTGAAAATAAAACAAGAATACAGATAGGAAAACAAACAAACAGGAAAAGAAAAGGGCTTCACAACAAATTTGGCATTACTTTGTCTTTAGAATCATGTGAAGATTAAGGAGGTTTTTGATGGATATAAATGAAATAGAATGAGAAACAACTTAAAGAACTTAGACCATACCTGGCCACAATGCTTGCCCTTGAACAGGTCTCAGTAATAATGATCTTAATGGAACAAAAGAACAAAAAAATGTTATCAGATAAGAGAAGTAACAATAGCAAAGATAATACATCTGTCATAAAGACTCCCAGTTCTGTTTCAATGATAAAGATTAGCCTGAAGCACTTTCTTGAGCTGTTTTGCTCAACTGTAACCTGAGGTTTGATGTTGACCTTTTGTGACCCTCCTGCCTTCAACCAACAAAAACTTTGACTCTGTCGACCTTTGCCCCAATTCTGTGCTGAATTTTCTGCTCAAGCCCCCTCATGAATATGCATGTACCTTAGCTTAAAACTTCCCCAATTTTCCTGTTTGGAGAGATACTGTTTTGGGAAAGATCCCTGGTGCTATCCCTACTTGCTGCAAGTAAGAATCCTGCCTTCTCTGGATCTTTGGCTTGGTTGTGTCTTTCAGCTAGACACCCACCAAGAGGCAAACCCAGTTTTCCGGTAACAAAATTGCTGCCTTAAAATGGCTTACGTCTTTAAAAGTAAGATAAATGTGAAACTAGCTACCTAGCAATGCTAGCTTTTGTAACGCCTACTCTAAACCAACCACCATATTAAATATTAGGAAACAAAGATAAATAGTAATAGCTCATATTTAATGAGTCCTCTGCTAGCTGCTTTTCATGTATTATCTCATTTAATCTTCACAACAATCCTGTAAGTAGACACTATTATTCTGTTCTTTCCAATGGGTAACATGGGACTTGCAAAGTTTGAATAGGTCAAATAACTAGAAGGAATTGTGGTGGAGATGAGGTTTGAATCAAAGTAATTTAACTTCAAAACTAATGGATTTAATCATGCTTCTTCCCAAAATTCTTGACTTTGAGGAACCTTTTTTTGCAGGAATGGGGTAGGGTGGGATGTGTTACCCCCTGGGTAGATAATTATAAGAAAATGTTACCGAACACAAGTTTGTGTGACCAATGCACAGTGAGGCCAAACAGACCAGGGTGAGGACTACAGGGTGTGTGACTTTCTGCTGATTGATTGGTAGTGAGGTAACAGGGTGGTGCTCTAGGAATCTTTTATTTTTTTTCTTTTTGCAGTACGCAGGCCTCTCACTGCTGTGGACTCTTCCGTTGTGGAGCACAGGTTCCGGACGCTCAGGCTCAGCCGCTCCGCGGCATGTGGGATCCTCCCGGACCGGGGCACGAACCCGTGTCCCCTGCATCGGCAGGCAGACTCTCAACCACTGCGCCACCAGGGAAGTTGTAGGAATCTTATGCTCAACCTGAAGCTACTATCCTCCACCTGGGTGGGGGCCATAGTTCCTAAAGAATTCAAAGATATTGTTATGTATGTTCCTTGACCAAGAACCAGGACCCTGCCCCAAGGCTGCACCATTGTTTCTTGATTTCTCCTCCCTTATTTCTGCATCCCCTCCCTTCCCTAATTAGAAACTGTTTGAATCTGCCCTTTGGAACTCAGGGAAGGTCAAGGAGGCTGAATGAAGCCTATTTCCTACAAACAAGAAATGGGGGACACAGATAGTCTTTTGTGCCCAGGAGGGCCCACAGGGGAGAGCATTGAGAGCTATTAACATTGAGCATTGAGAGCATTCTGAGAGCTATTAACATTGTTGCAGGATAATGAGAGAGCCCAAGTCTGCAAGTCAGAGAAGCTTCACAGAGGTGGTCACATTTGAACAGCGTCTTGAAGGATGAATGGGATTAATTAGAACTTGGGGACAGAGCATCCTAAATGCAATAAAGTAAAATCACTAAGGACTGAGGTTATTAAAGGATAGCATTTAGAAAAGGGAGAGTTTTATGACAAACTCAGGG